AGTGCAAAGGAAGGGGGGGAGGTGCTTTCCCTCTCCCCGCGCGGGAGGGGAGACGAACAAAATCCGAGTGCTGGGGGGTGGGGGGGGCTCTCCTCGGGCGCGCGAAAAGGGGGGAGAGAGAGAGAGAGAGAGAGACTGGAGTGCTGGTGGGGGGGGCTCTCCCTCTACCCGCGCCGAATGGGAAGAGGAAAAAAAAATCCGAGTGATGGGAGGGGGAAGGGTGCTCTTCCTCTGGCGCGCGAGAGGGGAATATAGCGAGACTAAAGCGCCAGGGGGAGGGAGGGGGATCCCCCTCTCCCCGCGCGGAATGGGAGAAGGAAAAAATCCGAGTGTGGGGGTGGGGGCTCTTCCTCCGCCTGCCAGGAGGTGCACCCCCCTTTCTATTTTCACCCCAGCACGAGAGAGGGGGGTGCACCTCCTTCCGACCCCCCCCCCTCCCTTTCATGTGTGGGGGGGGATGCTCCTCCTTGTCGACCCCTCGCCCGCGGTGGCTGAGTGGCTGGTCGTTGAATATCGTCGCCTCGAAGATTCACACACGACATGCGCGCGCGGCCGACGGCCCTGAGTGGTCCGCATGGTATCATTTGAAAAAAGATCGTGCCCCCCCCCAGACGCGCGCAAGGGCGTTCGAATGCATTCGACATGCGCGCGCGTCTCATTTGATACAATGTGCAAAAGACGTTGTCGCACGAATTCGCACATCACAAAAAAGTGGTTTGATTAGACATGTTGAATGTCCATTATGTTTTATAAGTGCTCCTCGATCTTAAAATCGATGATTTCGGAATGCGCGCGACGTTGCGAGCGAGTGCGCTTTGCGTGTTTGCTGCACCATACCAGATGATTGAGAGTTGATGATTTGGGATTAACGAATGCTCGCGCGAATTGTTATTTGCCGGGGATGAAGGATGGGGTGGGGAGGCGAAAAAGGTTTGGGCTGGGGTGATGTGAAAACATACTTCAATTTGACGACGGGGCAGGGTCATATGCAAATCGTTCTATCCCTGGAACCGGGGATTATCGGGGGGGTGGGGGGAGGAGCTCCTAATCTTTTTGCGGGAAATTCCCATCGGTTTTGCGCCATCTACGTTGTGCGTTGCGACGAGGCAGCGATGAGGGGGCGGCGACGGCGGCAACACAGACGCCAGATTGGCAAGCGGGCTCAGACGACGGGAGGCGACGAGGCGGCGACGGGGCGGCGACGGCGGCAACATAGCCGCCAGACCGACAGGGAGGCCCAGACGACGGGCGGCGACTTGGCGGCGATGGGGCGGCGAGTCTCAGGGACGACAGTCGCTCCCAGAATACGCCAGATCGCGCCCCAGAGGCAACGATCTATCGTATATTATACTTAAGCTCGCGCCCCCGATGCCACGACCCCTCAGAAATCCAATCAACCCTTTACGGCGCAGGTAGTTTAGGACGTTTCCTCTTCCAGCCCCCCTTCTTCCCATTCGGAGAAGGGTTGATCACTGTCCCCCAGGCGAATGGCAGCCAACCCGAACCAATGACAACAACCGCCCCCGCCCCTGTCAAAAAACAAATGAAAATGCAATAGGAGGCGAAATAGTGGGTCATGCTCGTAGGCCCCGCGAGCACTTCATATTGTCTTTTGACATGGGCAACGGGGGGGCTCACATCGCTTGCTGTGCGCAAGGCCACCACCCCTCTTTCTTTTTTGCACAAATGCACTTCGCGGCTAAATCTGGATCGTACGCAGCCACCCCGCGATAACTTTCCATTGCTGTTTGGCCGGGACGGGGGGGAGCTGGCATGTTGCATTCTCTGCGCAGGCCCACCAGACACCATAATGGCCTCCCCACCGCGATTGCGCTTTGGTTTTCGAACACATGTTTGGGGGCGACATGTTTCCCAATGTGTGCCATCACGTGCGCGGGCGCACCTGGCACACTCTACGCGTGCCCCGAACGTGGCGCACTTGGCGCGGCTGGAGCATGCGGCACACATGGCGCACGTGGAGCACGTGGCGCGTCTGGCGCGCCAGGCCTGCCTGGCACGCTTGGGCCCCGGGGGCGCCTCGAGCACTGGCGCGCCTGGCACGCCTGGTACACATGGCGCACCTCGCCCCAGCGTCGCGCACTTGGGGTCTGTTTTGATCCCCATTGGCTGCCCATCAATCGACGACCGTTGGGAATGCTGAAGCTCAGGCGTTACTTATGTGTTGGGCGGGCGGGTGGGAGTGAGCGAGTGGAGGGCGACCCCCCCCCCGATCTCGACGGGGCGCCCCGCGACCCATGGGAGCGTCCAAGAAGGCCCGGCGAAAAGGCAACAATTCTTGATTTTCAACACGTTGGGGTAAAGTTCGGCCTCCTGGGGGGTCAAGGCTACTGAAATATTCCCCCCTTCCTCGATCGAGCTCCTCCAGGATGGCCCCCAAGGCTCCCAAGAGTGCCCCAAGAGTGCCCCAAGAGGGCCCCAGGTGGCCCCAAGAAGCCCCCAAGGCCCCCAAGAGGCCCCCAAGAGAACCCCAAGAGGCCCTTAAGGGGGTCCCCCGAGGCACCTAAGACGCTCCAAGAGGCACCCCAAGACCGCCAAGAGGCATCCTAAGACGCCCCAAGAGGACCCCAAGAAGCTCCCAAGAGACACTCGAAGAGACTCCAAGAGGCATCCAAGAGGCCTCCCGCCTCTCTGCTCGCCACTCTGCCAGCAGTCCCTCGCAGAACCCCCCACCCGAAGCGGAAAGAAGCCCCAGATGGGCCCAAAGACGACCGCAGAGGGCCATAAGACGGCCCAAGAGAGCCGCCGAGAGAGCTCCAAATCAATCAAAGACTTAACGGGCGAAGAACAGTAGAAAACAAACTTTTTCGCTGTCGGGGGCGCCTGTCCCAGGGCGGCTGGAAAGTTTATCCCTTACGGTGGCAACGTAGGGGTATAAACTGTCCAGCCGCCCTGGGACAGGCGCCCCCGACGGCGGAAAAGTTTATATTATACCGTTCTTCGCCCGCTGAGAGAGGGCCCGATATGGCCCAAGAGCGCCCCCAGACGGCCCACGATGGCTTCCAGACGACCTAAGAAGCCTCCAAGATACCCCGGGAGAGCTCCAAGTTCACCACCAAGGCCAAAACATAGATTTTGGCGCTCTCGCCTTTCGGCGCTCTCTGCACTCCAAGAAAGCCCAGGAGGCCCCCGGGATCGCCCCAAGACGGCCCACAAGGCCACCAAGATGGCCCAAGGACGACCCCAGAGGGCCCCGCGACGACCCAGGAGGCCCCCCAAGAGGCCCCCGAGAGGGCCCTAAGAGGACCCGACGAGGGGCCGAAGAGGGGAAATAGACAGGGCCACAGGAGCCTGTCCCCGAACCACTGCCGCGAAGAAGACCCTCAGCATGCCCCCAAAGGGGCCCCCGAGACACCCCCAGGAGGGCCCAAGAAGTCGAAGGAGGCCCCACAAGGCCTCAACAGGCGGTCCCCGAGAGGCCTCTCCTTGCTCCGCCTCATCCTCCTCATCGTCATCCTCCTCTCCCTTCCGCACCCAAGACGATTACAACAGGGCGCACTCACAGTCGCCAAACTCCCAGACAGCGGCCAGTGAAACGCCACTGGTCTTCTCGATCAAAACTGGGTCTAGGTCGTCTCCCCTTCCCAACCTGGCGCAGGTCCGACAAGACAGATGGTACAATGGTTGTCTTGCGGATACCAAAGGCCCACATGTATAGATAGCAACAGCCCGCACTCGAACCCCCATTCACCGTGGCTTCGCGCATCATCTACATCACACACACGCGCGCCTCAAACAGATACTACGTTCAGTGAACTGAAAGTTTCGCGGAAGACAGAGGTACCGCGCCATTGAGGCTCCTCCCACGCTCGAGGGCCTCCTCCCTGGACCTTGGAACCAGCACTCTCGGGCCTGACTGAACAAGGCGTGTCGAGCGTTTTCGGCGCCCGAAGCACATGTCCTGAACAACGGCCCCACCGCGGCCCTTGCCAGTAGATCGCGTGATTCAGACCACTTGCTGGTACGTGCGACCCGAACGATGCATCCAGGAAAAGTGCCCGACGTTGGAGGCGGCCGGGGGGGGTCTGAACTAATTGGGCCCCGAGAAAATAAAATAGGTCAAGAGGGGATCAGGGCAAATCCGCCCCAAGTCGGTCCCCAGACCCCTCCCGAGATACACCTGGTGTATTTTTCACAACAGACCCGTTTGCGACAGTCCCGGGGCCCGAAAACAGCCCCCGGAGCCCGAAAGGGGCAAAAGGAGCTGCTCGGACCCAAAGCCTCGAACCTCGCCCCCACTCCTGCTCGCCGGAGCCCGTGCTGGGCCGACCCCCAGGGCAGCTCCAAGCCTGACGAGGGCGGGGAGAAACGAGGAGTCAGGCCGCGCGGTCGCGCGGAAGGCCCGAGCAGGGCCGGCGTGCTCGCGGCAGAGGAGCTCGGGCCTCGGAGCCCCCGCGCTCTCGGCTCCTGCGGGGAGCTCCCGCGGACAGCAGGGCTCGCAGCCGGGAGCCGACAGCGGTGCCAGCAGGCCGCGCAGCCCAGCGCGGGCATCCGAGAGCGTCGGGACGGGAAAGCGTCGGGCTTCGGCAGGGCAGGTCTGGCAGAGAAGGGCCGGGCCTCCCCCGCTGGCCAGGGGTGCCGTTCGGCCGCTGCGCTCGCGGGAGGTCCAGAGGAACTCACCCCGAGCCGGGACCGTCGAGCATGAGTTGACGGTGTGCGTTCGGCGCCTGCGCGGTCGGCGGCTACCTCAATGCTGGCCTGAGGCGTTTGGCCCACACGCAGGGGTGTCCGAAATTCGGCAGTGCCCTCGCAGCAGTGAAGGGAACGCGCTTCCTGACCAGTGCCCGAACCATCGGGCGCTCCGATGCTGAACGGCGCTTCGATGTATTCTTTTGACGAGGCTTGTAGGGCCCTGTTTCCTGGTGCAGCCAAGGAGGGGACCGAAAGACGGTGCACCGAAGAAACCTATGCCAGACTGCGGGCCCAATCTTGTGCGAACGATGGGCGGGCTTCGCGCGGGCCGGCCCGTGCACCTGCCAGAATCAAGAGACCGAGCCAGCTGCATTGGAGCCTGCCGAGCAGACACCGGGCTGGGGCGAACGGGGGGCGGCTCTCGATGCTCACGCACAAATTCAGCTGCGCTGGACTGCAGCACGCCCTCCCCCCTGTCGACCCTGCCCTCCGCGACGTAGACGTACCACAGCTTCGCGGCACCCTGCAGAGGCCCCACTGCAGCTCGGTCTGCCAGATATTTGTTCCGGGCAGAGATCGCAATCCCCTCGCCCACGTCCTCCTGCTCCTCCTCCTCCTCCTCCTCCTTCTCCCGCCCCTGATCTCCATCCTGCCCGTCCTTCTATGAAGGGGCCCTGGGACACACAAATAAATAGACACAAATAACAGGATTGCCCATATTTTCTCATATTTGCTAGGTTTTTGTCTTCCCCCCCACTTCCCATATTTTTCAATATTTGTCCTGGGAATCGATGAGTAAGTGTGTCTGTGTGTGTTTTTCCCCTCCTGATTCTACTCCACAGACTCGTTCGTGCCCTACATACGACCTTCTGAGCGGTTCTGCTGCCTCCTGTCGGAACCCCGGCACCGCTGGGCAAAAGCCAGTCACCGCGCTGCCGCACGATGGGCATCTCCAATCTGCAGCATCACGGCAACACCACTTTGCTACGGCACATGCCCTTCCTCCTCCTCCTCCTCCTCCTCCTCCTCCTTCTACTCCTCCTCCTCCTCCTCCTAATACTTCTACTGCTACGTGTTTGATCCTCCTCACCATCATCATCAACATCATCATACCCTTCCCTTCTTCTCTGCTCCGCCTTATGTTCCTCCTCCTCGTCCTCCTCCTCACCGTCCACGTTTGCCATCACCAGTGCACCGCACTCGGCTCACAACCCCCCGACTCCACGGAGAGGTGCATCAAGATCTGCTTCCCAGAGGGGACTCGCAGGGAAGGGCCAGGCTAGATAATGCACAAGCAGCAGGGGCGGCCAAGGTGGAGCACCATGGAAGCTTGCCTTGGCAACGGCTTCAACAATCCAATCGGAAACACGTCACGAGATTCGGCAGCGGCAGACGGGGCACACCCAAAGGCCAGGCGAGCTACGAACTGCAAAGAAGAGGCATGCCATGTTACACGTCCGCCGGAAGAAATAGGTAAAAGCATGATTATTTGTTGAACCAAATTATCCCGGCAAAGCAACCTAACAGCGATGTGTAGGAGCATATCTGGAAGCATTCCCCTTAAGATTCAGATGAGAATCCAGTTGTAGAATTCTGCTGTTCTCGCAGTCGTAGTCGCATTCGCGATGACAGTCGCAGTGGCAACGGCAGGCAGTCGCAGTCACAGCCTCAGCCTCAGCCTGCCTCAGCCTCAGCCTCAGCCTGCCTCAGCCTCAGCCTGCCTCAGCCTCAGCCTCAGCCTGCTTCAGCCTCAGCATCAGTCTGCCTTCAGCCTCGGCCTCAGCTTCAGTCTGCCGTCGGCCTCGGCTTCAGCCTCAGCCTCAGCCTCAGCTTGCCTCAGCATCAGCCTGCCTCAGCCTGCCTCAGCCTCAGCCTCAGCCTGCCTCAGCCTGAGCCTCAGCCTGCTCAGCCTCAGTCAGCCTTCAGCCTCGGCCTCAGCCTCAGCCTGCCTCAGCCTCAGCCTGCCTCAGCCTCAGCCTCAGCCTCAGCCTGCCTCAGCCTGCCTCAGCCTCAGCCTCAGCCTGCCTCGGGCATTCAAAATGTGGCCCGGGAATGGAGTTCTGGGAACTCGAAGACCACGAAGTGGCCTACAGTTGGCTCCGGGCATTCAAAATGTGGCCCGGGAATGGAGTTCTGGGAAGTCGAAGAGCACGAAGTGGCCTACAGTTGGCTCCGGGCATTCAAAATGTGGCCCGGGAATGGAGTTCTGGGAAGTCGAAGAGCACGAAGTGGCCTACAGTTGGCTCCGGGCATTCAGAATGTGGCCCGGGAATGGAGTTCTGGGAGGTCGAAGAGCACGAAGTGTGTGACTGTATGCGAAAAACGATCCCCCCCGGCAAACCCCAACGGCCCCCCAACGCTCCCCAACGGCTGCCCAGACCCCCCTGTGGAGTAATGTGCTGCTCTCTTTTTAGCCCATTAGAAACCTATCAGTCTACGCTGTTAGGTAAAAACGTAAATTGGGCCCTCCCAGAGAATAACAAAACACAGCAAAGCATATCGACTCATGAAGTAGGACGGCGCTTGAAGTAGATTGGGATCTGGGAGTCCAGAAATACCGACTTGCAACGACCAGCGTGTAGGTCAGCCAGTGAGCTCCACGGAATCCGAGAGTGGGGTCCCTCAGCCAAGAGGCCCTGGGCTCCGCCTCGAAAGGCGGGCGCGGAGAAGGACTGCAAAGGGCTCGCGCATCAGAAACGGGAGAGATGTCCTAGCTCGTTCTCCACGCTGTCCAGCGTCGGGAAGGGAGCCTTGCACCGCCCACAAGAACACTCACAAGATCGCTCGGCTTCTAATGCGCCTTCCGCCAATACGTGTCAGAGCGCATTGTAGATCAGTGCAGGTGACGACTCGCTCTGCATGTGTGCGAATCGGGAGTGCAACCCTCGTGATGCTTGCACGAAATCCAACACCCCGGGGCCCAGTGAGGGCCCCCGGAGACCGAAAATTACCACAGACCTCCCATCGTGATGTGTGTCGCGACGGCGGGCCATTCTTCTCCCCACGGCCAGGCCATTTCTTGTCCCTCCTCCCGATCTGCACCTTTCTTATCCCAACGTCACCATAGCCTGACGCAGCACACTTGCTTTACTTAGCACGAAAGACCAAATGCAAGCACTGACACACACAAAACACACACATACACGCACACACAAGCAAACCAATAGCATGACAACTGCAACAAGGGAGCAACAACTGCAACAATCACTGTAAGACTGTCCACTCTTCGTTGCCCGCGTGTCACTCAACATGTAGGTACCTTAGACCCTCCATGCCAGCCCTCTCCGTCTTCGATCGTACCCCTTGGGGTGCATCTTCCTTGCCTGCCACGGGTAGTTGACGCGGCCCCTGAAAAAGGAGGAGGAGGAGGAAGACGGAAAAGGAGAATGGAGAGAGCGAGGGAAAGAGGAGGAAACGGGAAGGGAAGGGAGCCAAAGGGAAGGGAAGAGGAATGAGGGCGAAGAAGATCCGGCAGAAGTGGCAGGGGAGAGGAGCAATGAGCTGGGCAAGCTTGACGGGCAGGCTGGGCCCAACGAAAAAGGCCAGCCGAGCGGGCGGGGCAGCAACGCAAGCGGGCTTCCAAGAGCGCGAGCGGCTGGACTCTGACGGGCAGGCCAGGCGGGGGGCGGGCCCTGACGGGCGGGTATGAAGGGGCCCAGGGACACACAAACAAATATACACAAATCCCAGGATCCCCCCGTATCTTCCGTATTTTTGGATCTTCGTCTTCCTCCCTACTGCCCATATCGTCCCATATTTCCTAAAGAACCGACGATTAATTGCGCCTCTGTGTTTTTTTACCCCTCCTGAGGGTCGGGCGGGGGGCGGACCATACAGGCGGCTCGGACGGGGAGGGACCCTGCCGGGCGGGTCGGGCGAACGGGCGCGATGGGCCCTAACGGGCGGGATCGCCCGACATCTCGTGGTGCCATCCCCCAAGATGGCCCCGATATCCCTCCCCTCCTCCCTGGCCCCCGCTTCTCATCCATCTCTCTCCCTTGTCAATCAATGACTCGCATTCTTCGCATCAGAAGTCGCTTCGAGAGTGCGGGCCGGGCGAGTCGCTTGATGTTCGTCACCGTGTATGACCCCGCAGCCCAGAGTACCAAACGGTTACGTTGATAAGGAGGGGCGGCCAGTTCTCTCGATGCGTGACGCTCGCACATCCCCACGAAGAGCTGCCCACAGTTACGGCAGGTTCGTGCCTTGACGACCTCGGCGTTGGTCTCTGACACCGCGGGGATCGCCCAACCTGGAACGGTCGGCTGCTTCCGAAACGTCAGCTCGTTCCGTATCGAGCGATTCTGGGTCGCTGGCGGCGCTCAAGGTGGCACGCCGACGGCGGGGCCGCCGCCGGTCGACGCGACGCGAACCCACCGTGTGAGGACTGGGGGCGAGCGGTGTTCCAGGCGTGGCTCTCGCTTCCGCGGTGCGCAGCGTACACTCGTCTGGCAAGTTTCGGGCCACTGCGCGGATGAAGGTCGGCGCGTTTTCAAAAGTGGCCCTTCCCGTAGCGCTGCGCTCGTCCGGGGCTGAAGCTCCCGACTGCTACCAGGATGGAGAGCGGTGTTTTTCGAAAACCGGACTCTCGCGCGAAACTTCCTGCATGCCTTCGAGAAAATGATGTTCAACCTTGTAGTAGCTATACCAGAGCAGATGGCGGGTGATTTTCTCAACCGGGATACTGCTCAAGAATGCCTCACTTCTGTCGACCAGAAACCCAGTGTGCAACAGCTCCACGGATAGAGAGTGGATTTTTGATGGAGATATCGCTGGACGCCTCCTTCAATCTTATTGTCCTACATCTTTCAATTCCATAAGGCTACACGGATGCGGGAAGCGTCCGTTTCGAAAAGGGGTTATGGACGAAATGAAAGGCCCATTGCGCGCTCATTCTTGAAGGGGGCGCACCCTGTAGAAAACAGATCCCTGTAGCACCTCGTGATGACGTGGTTTTTGGACGGGATGGTGTATTGCAGCGTTGTTGACTCATTCTGGGTTTATTGTGGTCCTCCTCCTCCTCCCTTCCCACCGTCCTCCCTTTTTTATCCTCGTACCCAGGTGCTGCGTGCGTTCGGGCTGTGGAAGAGCAACCTCCCCGCGGTCTACGAGCTCGGGTGCCAGGACCTCGAGCGTTCAGCGAGCGACGACTACCATGAGACCGATCGCGAGTCAGAACTCGAATTTTGATCGAGATTGAACATCGTTTTTAGGGCCAACCCATACCCTTACTTCTTATGATTAAACACCCCCAAACCCCCACCTAGCCGGCCGGTAGCAACCCCGCCGTCCTAACTGACAAAAAACAACTCAATCTCTTTTTTCTCGCCAACATGTCGTCGAGTTGCGAAAAGTGAAGCAGTAATGGGACGGAATGATAATCGCTTAGGGACCCTAAGTGGGTGGTCGCGTCCTACCTGCAAAAAAATTCCGAAGTCAATGTTGTGTTTCGACAGCCTGGACTTTCTTGTCGTCGACGCTGCGAAAAGTGTAGGAGGAATGGGACGCGGCGCACATCGCGCGCGGACGCCTGGCGAAAACTACGCGGGACCCCCCTCCTACCTGGCAAAAAACACCGCAACGTCAAAGTGTTTCTTGCCAACATGTAGTTTCTCCTCGTCGGCTATGCGAATCGCGCAGCGGGAATGGGACGCGGCGCACATCGCGCGGGGACGCCTGCTCGTCAACATGGGCTTTCTTGTCGTCGACGCTGCGGCCCGTCGGGTTGAGGAGCTGGGCGGGCGGCAAGTCAGAATGCTTCGAGCACGTGCGGTTCGCCGCCGGCGCGCCCGTTGTCGTGTCCACATAAGGGAAACCTGTCTCCCTTCCCTCTTCCTCCTCCTCATCATCCTCCCCATCCTCCACGCGCGGCAGGAAGGAAACGATTGGCGGTGCAACGCGCGCGGCTGGAATGAGACGCGGCGCATTTCGCGCGCTGGACATGTTGTCAGCGACGATGCAACATGAGAGGCCGGAGCGGGGAGCGGCGTACATCGCGCGCGTCCCTGTTTCTCGTCGACGTTGCTCAATACGCGGCAGGAATAGGACGCAGCTCATGTCGCGCGCTGAACGTCTAGCCGCCCACGATATAAGATGAGCGACAGGCGTCGGACGTGACGCACTTGCTTCTTATGTTGTGGGAGGGCGGGTGGGAGTGGACGGAGCCCTCTGGCTCGTTCGAGCTGGCTAACTTGACTATGCCATACCATTGTCGACGGCATCGCCTCTTCTCTCTTCTCCGCATCCCCGAGTAGCCGCCCGTCGCCTGCTGGCATGGGTGCCTCAACAAAGGGCACCTCCTCCTCCTCCTCCTTCTCCTCCAGATCCTCCCGCCTGGTCCTCCTTGTCCTCCATGTCCTCCTCCTCCTCCTCCTCCTCCTCCTCCTCCTCCCCCTCCCCCTCCCTGGATTTCTCCTCCTCCTCCTCATAATCCGTCTACTCCTATCCCTCATCCTCCTCCTCCTCCACCTTCTCTCTACCTTTCTCTCTCTATCGCTCTCTCTCTCTCTCTCTCTCTCTCTCTCTCTCTCCCTCTCTCTCTCTCTCTCTCTCTCTCTCTCTCTCTCTCTCTCTCTCTCTTCTCATTCCCCACATCCAAAGTGGGGTTCTTGTTTTCTCTGCACACCCCCGCGCAGGAGAGAGATCTCACTCACCCCCTCTTCTCCTCGCACTCACTCACACACACACATCATCATCACTCGCACTCTCTCACACGCTCACGAACATCATCGTCATCATCGGTATCGGCATCATCCTCATTCAAACATCATCATCGCCACCACCACCCACAATCAATCATCATCCTCTTCACCACTCATCTTCACCACCACTCATCATCCTCATCCTCATCATCGTTGAGTAAAGTGTGAGGAAGTCTCAGGCGGGAGCCCCCTCCCTATGGGGCCCGCAGATCATGTTGGTAATCCGAGCGGGTCATCGGAACCCTGTAACTGTCGTCACTTTTGGGCTCCCCAGGCCTGAAAATGGAGGAAGTCTCAGGCGGGAGCCTCGTCTGTGAGTGAATTGGGAGGAAGTCTCAAGCGGGAGCTCCCTCCCTATGGGGCCCGCAGATTATGTTGGTAATCCGAGCGGGTCATCGGAACCCTGTAACTGTCGTCACTTTTGGGCTCCTCAAGCCTGAATATGGAGGAAGTCTCAGGCGGGAGCCTCGTCTGTGAGTGAATTCTGAGGAAGGCTCAAGCGGGAGCCCCCTCCCTATGGGGCCCGCAGATCATGTTGGTAATCCGAGCGGGTCATCGGAACCCTGTAACTGTCGTCACTTTTGGGCTCGTCAAGCCTGAATTTGGAGGAAGTCTCTGGCGGGAGCCTCGTCTTTGAGTGAATTGTGAAGAAGTCTCAGGCGGGAGCCCCCTCCCTATGGGGCCCGCAGATCATGTTGGTAATCCGAGCGGGTCATCGGAACCCTGTAACTGTCGTCACTTTTGGGCTCCTCAAGCCTGAATATGGAGGAAGTCTCAGGCGGGAGCCTCGTCTGTGAGTGAATTGCGAGGAAGTCTCAGGCGGGAGCCCCCTCCCTATGGGGCCCGCAGATCATGTTGGTAATCCGAGCGGGTCATCGGAACCCTGTAACTGTCGTCACTTTTGGGCTCGTCAAGCCTGAATTTGGAGGAAGTCTCTGGCGGGAGCCTCGTCTTTGAGTGAATTGTGAAGAAGTCTCAGGCGGGAGCCCCCTCCCTATGGGGCCCGCAGATCATGTTGGTAATCCGAGCGGGTCATCGGAACCCTGTAACTGTCGTCACTTTTGGGCTCCTCAAGCCTGAATATGGAGGAAGTCTCAGGCGGGAGCCTCGTCTGTGAGTGAACTGCGAGGAAGTCTCAGGCGGGAGCCCCCTCCCTATGGGGCCCGCAGATCATGTTGGTAATCCGAGCAGGTCATCCAAAACCTGTAACTGTCGTCAATGTTGGGTTCTCGCGCTGCCAGAACGCAGTTCCCAGGCCACACTTTGGATGCAACAAGGAAGTTTTTGGGCTCCTCAGGTCGCCGAGGTGCTGCGACAGGGCGCCGAAGGCGCCGACGACGACGGCCAGGCCGAGGCGCGGGCGCGGAGCTTGCTGATGTTCAGGCCCAGCGAAAGGGAGTTCACATGGCAGAGCTCGGGGGCGCACAGCGTGCGCCGCTCGGGGTTCACCCTGACGCACGCGTCCTACCTGACCTCCACGCTGTCGCAGGGCCAGACGCTGCGCAAGGGCGTCACCATCGACTGCGCGAGAGACGAGGACGCTGGCCGCACGGGCATGTCGGACGAGCAGTGGTGGCTGCACCTCTACGTCATGTTCTCCCGCGCCACGTGCATGCGGAACATGCTGATCCTGCGGCCGCCGCCGCGAGAGTTCCTGGAGTGCGGGCCGCCGGCGTCCCTGCGGAAGGCGCTCCTGGAGTTCGACAAGAGAACGGTTTTGTCCAGGGCGGAGGCGAAGCAGCTCGCGGCAGAGCTGGGCTTCGTGCTGCCTTCCGCCTGAGCGCGGCTGCGCCTCGCTCGAAGCCCGCGGGGTTGTCCCAACGGCTTGGTCTTGCGCGCCAACGGCTCGCGGGGTTGTCCCGACAGCCTGGCCCGCGGGGTTGTCCCAACGGCTGCGCGACGTGACCAGTAGAGAACGCGCCTGTGCTGGCCGTGGCGGCGACGGCGCCGAGGAACATCGACATGCGCGCTCATGCAACAGGAAGGGGAGGAGGTGGCGGGGCGCGGAACAAACAGGGGGGCGAGGATGGGGACAACGTAAGGAGTGGAAGGGGGGCCCGCGCCAAGGCGAGAGGAAATATACGCAGAAGAGACAGCCAGGACGCCTCACCAACCACGAGGACGACGGTGATGGCTTTTTCCAGATTCGCCCAGAGGATTCTTATGTGGGGTTCTTCCGTCGGAGTAATTGTTTTTCTCTATCTCTCTCTCTCTCTCTCGCTCTCTCTCTCTCTCTCTCTCTCTCTCTCTCTCTCTCTCTCTGTCTACCCACATAGTGATTGTTTTATCTGATATCGGACAGGCGGCAATTCAGGTTAACAGTCGGAGCCGATCCGCCCGCATCGGCAGTGTGCACATTACGAATAAGACAGTCGCCAAGCAAACCCAGAACGCCACACAAGCCGACCTGCAATAGGCAAACTCGTGTAAAGAACCGCGGCCTGGAAAAGAAGATACCAAGCAATGCCAGTGACAATGTTGCCCGTTTCTATAGAGATATCGCCAGCCCTACTTTGTTGTACGAGGCCATGCATGTTTCCATATATATACACATATAACTTCCAATATGCACATGAATATATATACCCATACATATACACAGATATGTAGAGATATGATTATATATATGTGTGTATCTCTCTCGATATGTCTCTCTCCCTCTCTATCTATATTATATATATATATAAGTATATGCATACATATAGATGTATGCATGTAGCCCTCTCTCGCTCTCTCGCTATCTCTCTCTCTCTCTATCTCTCTCTTTCTCTCGATCTCTCTCTCTCTCTCTCTCTCTCTCTCTCTCTCTCTATATATATATATACATATGAATATATGTGTGTAAATAGATGTGCGTGTGTCCTTCAGCTCCCTCTTCGTCTTCCTCCTCCTCCGTTCCTTTTACTTACAAATAACTCCTCCCTGTCCCACCCCGAGGCCAGTCGAAGGGGCGTGCCGGGCGTTTCGCCTGAGACTCCCTCACCGCTTATAACCCTGAAGCGTAAAGGCTGATAACAGTTTCACAGGGGATGGAGGGGGGGTCACTTCCAACATGTGGCTCTCGCCTTAGCACCTTACACATTCGTTTCGAAAAACGCAAGGCCTTCCTGTGTTGAGGGCGGGCCGTTTGAAAAATGCGGCTCTCGCCTGAGCGCGGTGCATATTCTTTTTTGAAGATGCGAGAGCTTCATGGATCGAGGGAAGGTTGTTTCCAAAATGTGGCTCCCGCGTTGAGGCCGCGCACGCTTGCTTTAAAACTGCGCTAAAGCTTCACTGATTGAACGAAGGTCGTTTTCAGAATGTGTCGCCTTAGGGCCACGCACATTCGCATTAAAAACTAAGAGCTTCACGCATTCTTTTTAACGTGTCCAAGAGCCGCGCCCATTCTTTTTAACGTGTGCAAGAGATTCACGGATTCCCATGGTCAACGTGCCAGAAATCATGTGTTGTAAGGACTCTGGATTGTGAGGGCGCAGCAGAGAAGTTCATTCACGGTGTTGAAGTCCCAGGAATTCTCTTCGGGCACGATTCCAGATCGCCAAGATGCAGCAGTCATGTTGATTCGTGGCATTGGAGTCCCGAGAATGGTGTTTGACCACGCTTCAGGGTCTACAAACGGTTGTCTTCCAAAGAAGCGTAGCTCCCACAGTGGACATGATCCCTTGTAGGGGCCTATGAGGAGGGACCTTGGAGGGAGGGTGCATTCCAACATCGTTGATGAGTATTGGGTTTCCACCTTTCCTCGTCCTCCTCCTCCTCCTCCTCCTCCTGCTCATCATCAACTTCCACCACCTCCTCTCTCATTATCCTCCCTCCATCGCCTCCTCCTCATGAGCCTCCTCAGCATCATCATCATTGCATGGCCGCCCTCCCGCTCCCTGCTGTCTCCCAGCTGCGCTTGCCGACCCCACCGAGAGGTCGAACTCTGCGGTCTTCTTGTGGAACACTTCGAAGAGCAGAACGCCCACGAGCAACCCGCAGCCAATGCCGAAGCTGCAGGGTTGGAAGAGGGGGAGGAGCTTTCTTCTGATGTCACAGACAGGAGTACAGCTCATTCGAGAGTGAAATCTCGGAATGAAAGTTTCCGCTGGCACGAGAGAGAGGATGGTACATGAAAGGCGCAGGCTGATAAGAGAGTGGAGAGCGAGAGGTTGAATAAGTATGCGGATGAGACTTAGGAATGCGAAAAGCTGCGAACACAAATGTCTCGATGCGAATCACAAGAAGACCTACACTGTCAAGGACGAAGAAGCCCAGGGAGAGCTAACTTGATGAGCGCCGCTGCAGCCGAAATGTGATTAATGATGTTGCGCCTATGCTGACGAAAAAGAAACACTCCGCCCATCTCGACTTCAACCATACCTCGACCCCAACGCCCACCCGCCACCCCGACGAAAAACAAGCCCCACTCCAAGCAGCACACCCCACACCCCATACATCCGGTGAGGAACTGTTGCTTCGCCTGTCCCGGCGGCGGCCCGGGCGACACGCTGTGCCCTGCAAGCGGATAGCGTGTCGCTCCGCTCCGCCGCTCCACGGGGCAGGAGGCTGGGCGCGCAAGGCGTGTCGCGCCGAACCATGGTGGGCTAGAATCGGCAGCGCCACACGCTAAGCATACGTTCCTGACCGCACTGCCCAGCCCCCAGCGAAAAAGGCACCCCACCCCAGGCAGCACACCGCACTTAATAAGAAGCTCAGACCAGCTGCGAAGAGGTGGGCTGGAATCCTTGAGACACTACAGCCCGTCTCGAGGATAGCACACCAGGCGAAAAGAAAGACTGACGGATATCTTGAGGGGGGTCGACAAGCCCATTCTTTTACCCAGGGTCCTGAGACATCCACTCCCTCAGAAGAGAAGCACGATTTCTCATAGATGCAAGCCTGTGACTGCGGACGAACAATGCAACCGAGCCGCACCAGTCCATCGGCTGAACCACATCAAACGCATCGCCGATGTCGACCACGCCGGCCCAATAATCAATCGATTTAGGCTGCTGAGCGAACACAACTTCCGCTCCTTCTCCTCGTGATCATCCTCCCCTTCTCCATCCTCCTCATCCCTCCTAGCTAGTCCCTCTCGCTCTCCGCTCCCTTCTCCCGCTGTGTTGCTCCTCCTCCTCCTCCTCCTCCTCATCCTCCTCCTCCTCATCCTCCTCAAGACCATCATCATCATCATCATCATCACCACCACCACCACCACCACCATCATCATCATCATCATCAGTATCAGCATCAGCATCATCACCAGCATCATCAGCAGCATCAGCCTAATCATCATCATCGTCATCATGTTCATCATCACGTTCGTCATCATCTTTTTCGTTATCATCATCACCGTCATCAACGTCATCATCTCAACATCATCATCGACATCATCATCATCATCAGCATCATCATCATCATAATCATCATCAATATCAGCATCGTCATCGTCAGCATCATCATAAGCATCAGCAGCAGCAGCATCAGCATCAGCATCATGGTCATCAGCATCAGCATAATCTGCTTCATCATCATCTCCATGTCCTCCTCAGCATCCTCAGTATCATCGTCATCGTCATCGTCATCGTCATCATCATCGGCATCAGCATACTCATAATCATCAGCATCATCGTCATCATGCAACTCCGCATCTTCAACATCCTCCTCGTCCTCCTCTTCATCCTCTTCCTCTTCCTCTTCCTCCACCTCCACTTCCACCTCCTTCTTCTCCTCCTCCTTCTTCTCCCCCTCCTCCTCCAGGTGTTATAGCGGACCAAGACCCCCCCCCCAGTTAGAAAGTGTAGCTGTGCACACTGGAGGAGGGAGGAGAGAGAATCGGATCGACCCAGCTGGCACCCGCGGAGCCCCATGGCCGTCTGCGGGCCCCACGGATCCACGTGCACGGAGCTGCTCGCAGAAACGGGAGAGCGGAGGGAGGGAAGGGAAGAGAGAGGAGGGGTGGTGAGGAGGAGGAGGAAGGAGGAGGAGGAAGAGGGAGGAAGAGGGAAGGCTGAATGAGAAGGGCGAGGGCGGACGAGGAAGGAGCGGGGAGCAGGGTGGAGGTTCGTATCGCGGTTGAAAATTGCGTGGAACTGGGGGCGGACATGGACGAGGAGAGGCCACTCGGCGACTTCATGTACTCTGACGTACTGGATGCATAATGTTCTTCTTGGCTCAACTTGGCGCGCGGCATCCAGCGCCTGTGTGGATTCGGCCCCGAGATCTACAGCGGCAGCAATTTGGGAGCATGCGACGTGATGGTGTTCGCCGACGACATTCCCAACTTCGGTGTTGGACGCTGGAGAAGATACCTCCGTTCCGGCAGGTAGTACTGGCCGATAGCTTAGCCTGTAACATCAGCGACGTTCGTGTTGTAGCGAATGGCCATTTGGAGAAGTCTCACGCGAACAGGGGGTGCAGCGGTTGTATCGTAATAGAGACACATGTCCCTTTCTAGGCAAAGGCTCTGACGATGGCGGCGACAAGCTTGATGAGGGCAGTGCAGCCCTGCTGGGCGGACGGCGGCGCTATTGGTATGTGCGCCCTGGTCGAGCACAACATCTGATGACGATCGGAACTAATGTCCGCGCATATCTGCGCCATGACCAAGACGACAAGTGGGGAAAACCATCCTGTGTGAGCCGCACCGTGTACAGAATAAAGCAACGGGGAAGTTGGCGATTCACCTCCAGATGACGTTGTAGTCGTACTGCGAGAAGGAGTTGAACCCCCTGAAAGGACAGGTCAGCATTGGCGGCATGCGGCATGCCTTAATACAACAGTTCCACGCGCAGTGTGCGTGAAGGCGTGAGCAGCCCCTGAGTGCCGAACGTCCTGCGAGTGAAACTGGTGTCGTATCTCAGTTTGCGCAGCGCCGAAAACGCGTGGTGAGTCGCGTGGTCCTGTGATCGAAAATCAGGCCGAGCGGTATATGGATGAGAAGATCAACCTAGTGTCGCGTTGCGCGGAATAACGTGCAGAACAGGTTGCCTCCTGCCGGCACCTAAGCCAATTTGGCTAGAGAAGGAGAAAGGCGGGAGGCGGAACGAATGAATGAATACAACCGCAAATGTGACCACAAAAACTAGCATTTGCGAAACCTGGGCCAACTTCACAGAAGTGTCTTAAAACAAACCTGGGCCAACTTCTGTTGTTCACGCTGGAGGGGGCGAACGTGATCAAGAAACTGGTCCAGCTTTCTGGCAAGTTGATACAAAAACGCTGGCCCAAGTTTTCGGGAGAAGGTTTCTGAGAGAGATGCTCGACTCTAACGGCGCACGGCAGGCTCTTAATGTGCAAACCACCAAAAGGAGCGCGCGAAACAACGCGCACGACAGCGGAGACAGAGAAGGGATCGTTGACGCGGCAGGCCCAACCAGGAACCGCCCACTCAACATAGGGCAGGGTTATGCCAACGTTTCGTCTGTATTCATTTTCCAACGCTACTTTTCAAAAAAGTGCAGCGCAATTCTATTTTGGAGGGCGGGGTTGTGCCAACGCTGCCACCTCTGTGACAAGCAAGCCGTCGCGGCGTCCGCCGCAGGACCAGCACAAGGGACGAGGGAGGTAGGAGGAGCGAGGAGGGAGGAGGCATGAGGATGGAGTGTTGGAGTGTAAGAGGGGCTCCTGAATCAACCAGAAAAGAAATGTCCCACGGCAGCACCTGCTTGATGGGCAGTTTGACTTTCTCGACAGACACTACGTGCCACCATCGCCAACAGCGCGGAGGGAGGGAGTGAGCGCAAGGCTTGGGCTGAGAACTGCACTTCAAGCGCAGATCTGGTCCCAAACGTCAAGGTGTCGCAAAACATGCAGCCAAATCTGCCAGCGATCTCCGAAGCGGCACGGCGGCCACTCGCGAAACTCAACTCTGAAGACATACCAAGCATGATGCTGCAAGGAATGTCAAGAGGCACAGCAGACGCGGGTCATAAATACCCGAGCATCAAGCCTCTTCACTGCAGCTGATGAGCCCATGAAGACCGTACTTATTGTACCAGCGAAGGTCGCAGGAGCCTCCCATTTGCTACCAGAATGTGGCACAGAGACAAGATTGTGCAAAATTGCGAGGGCAAGACGAGAACGTCAGTGAGCAATGACATACTGGACCAGCAGCACAAATTCACCAAAAACAAGCATGTGAAGATCCTGCGAAGGCCAGGGCAACTAAAAGGAGTCATAAGGGAAGTATGCATTCACCTTTGAACAAGAAACAGTAATGAAACAGCTCGAACACATGAATATAGATATATGAGTACATATATAAAGTATAAAAATACCTATGTATATATATATATATATATAGATCCGACCCCGATTGTTTTAAGATACATTCACCTACCAACAACCAAAAGACGTCACCCTGCCTGGAAATTACGTACGGCAGCCATCATACAGCACGACAAACTCCCCTGGCAATTCGAAATGCACAAAGTCGTCAAGATCTCGCATGAGTCAACATGCACCGATGTCCCGTCTCTTTATCCGTCCTATTCCCGCGGCCCCCTCCTCAGGCGGAGCGCTCTCTTCCGCAGGTTTCGCGGGAGCGTCGTCGGTGGGGCTGAAGGTCGGCAGCGCCTCTCGTCGCTACTACTGCTAGGACCAGCAAGACAACCACAATCACAATTTCTACCACTGCTACTGGCACAACTCCTAGCACCGCAACAACTGTGACGATTACAATAGGGACGGATACGACGACTGATGCACTGCTGATACTAGTGCTGCTGCTACTGTGAACAACGGCGGTAGACTTATCACTGCTACCACTGCAACTGTTACCACGACATCAACTACGATAACAAGTACGGTATGCACTAGTCAAACACTGAACGTATTTCGACGCTCCAGCTGGTGCTTGTAAAGGATTACGCTACTCCTCCCACCATCACTAAGACTCTGCAACTAAGTCGTGGATGCCCGAGGTCTTTGCGACAGAAAAAATCCCATTGCCGGAGACATCGTCAGCACGCCCCCATGGGCTGCCTTGTTTTGACGAGGAGGCCAAACGCCGTCAGCGTTCAGGGCACGTCCTTAAAGACTCTGCATTATCACATGTGCGTTCCTGGAGCGCCGATCATTGCAATCCATTACAGAAACGCCAACCAACAGCTTGCATAGTTTTTCGCCACGTCGTCCCACCCTCTTATGATCATATGATCGCGCACTATTCCCTACCCCCTGAATGCCCAGCATCACACATTCGAAAGGTGTCATCCATGTGATCTACATCTGGCATCTGCTGTGCACCCAGAGGCAAACAGACTAAAACAGCCATTCACAGCAAATTCGCAGCAGCATGGAAGATGCCTTGCTCAGAAGTCAGAAATTCTAAAGCCTCTTGCTTGTCCACCGTGTCACTCTTGCCGTCCGTGGCGTTCGCATCGGGCTTCTCGAGTACACCATGTAGCCTGCTAGGGAACTAGTGCACCGAATGTTTTATATCTATCCTGCTATACCAGGGAAACGAGGACACATAGCTGGATTCAATGGCGGAAAATCCAGAGGCCACGTGCTGGATAGACATGCGGAGGCCATGCCTACACGACCATGCTAGGGCCGAGCGCTTGAAAGACATCCGTCCAGATGTGCATCCGGCTCTCGGACCAGGCCAGCCGCATCATGTACACGTATCCAGTTTCCTTGCTTACGCTGGCCATTGCCAAGTTCAATTTGGACAACAGAGATACGCACAAGTGAAAATGCCTGAGCAACACACATACAGCCACAACAACAACAACAACAACAACAACGACAACACCAATAATTTTGAGACTGTTCGCTATGATCTGCTCGCATGCCACTCAACACGTATATCCCAAACCCTCGATACCCGCCCTCATCGTCTTCGATCGTACCCCCTTGGAGGCCCCGCCCCCATGCTGATGCCATCGCGCCCCCCCCCCGCGCGGTGGCCCCCCGCCGCCCCCTGTGGGTGTGGTGCGGTGCTGTGGGTGTGGCGTGTGTGGCGTGGCACTGTGGTGCTCAAAGAGAGCTGCAGAGGTCATCGTCGACGCCGCCGCCGTCGTCGTCGTCGGAGAGCTCCAGAAGTCGGCGCCGCCGCCGCCGCCATAGTCGTCGTCGTCGTCGCCGTCGTTGTCGTCGTCGTCGCCGCCGCCGACGTCGTCGTCGTCGGAGGGCTCCTGAAGTCACCGGCGCCGCCCTCGCCGCCGTCGTCGTCGTCGTCGTCGTTGTCGCCGTCGTGGTCGTCGCCGCCGTCGCCGCCGTCGTAGTCGTCGTCGTCGTCGCCGCCGCCGTCGCCGTCGTCATCGTCGTCGTTGTCATCGTCGTCCTCCCCCATCCCATCGGGGTGGGGCCTGAGAGACCCTGAGACCCTTTCCATCTGGGGGGGGGGCCGTGGGCCCAGAGCCCAGCATCATATATCTCTCTTGCGTGCAACGTGTATTTCGTGTAGCCCCTGAGGCAGGGGAAGAGAGGACGGATGGAAAAAAGACGGGGAGGGAGAAGGAAAGAGAGTAGCAGGAAGGGGGCTAGGAGCAGAAAGCACGTGGCAAAACCAGACGGGCAGATCGGGCGGATAGACCCTAACGGGCGGGTCGGGAAGGCGGGCCCCGGCGGCCAAGTTGAGCAGGCGGGTTGCTGAAGCGGGCGTCCTGCATGAATTGCGAGGAAATTTGGAACGATAGCGAGACTCCCAAATAAATCGTTAGGAAATCCACAGCGACAGCGTGATTTCTGAGTGTCGAGGGCGCGGCGTCGGAATAGACTGCGAAAAAGTCCCACGAGAGAGCGCGATTGCTGCATAATTTGTGACGAAGTCCCGCGCGAGAGCACAACTCTTCGGGAATAAACTGTTGCAAGCCAGGGGCCGACAACCCAATTCTGAGATCCAAGCTTTCCCCTGATGAAAAACAGGGTGCGAGCCCCAGGAAGGGCACTTCAATAGAAAAAACACACAACGTGCCCTGGAGGGGGGGGGATTTCTTATAATTTTCAAAAGTCATTCAGGAATCCTGAAAATCCTTCAGGACTCCAAGACTCCTGAGAAATCACTCAGGAATCCTCCAGGACCCCATTGCGAATCCTGAAGAATCCCCGGGAATCCTTCAGGAACTCCTAAGGAATCCCTCCGAATCCCTTAGGAATCCCTCTGGAAACCTTCAAGAATTCTTCAATCCCTCACGAATCCCTGGGAAATCCTCAGGAATCTCCCGGAATCCTGCAGGAATCCCTGGGAATCCCTAGGAATCCGGGAGGAATCGTTCAGGAATCCCGCGGGAATCCTCAGAAATTATTCAGGAATCTCTGAAACCCCCCCTCAGGAATCCGTCAGGAGTCCATTTAGAAATCCCTCTGGGATCCTTCAGGACTCCGCAGGGATCTTTCAGAAACCCCTGAGGATTCCTCAGGAATCCCGAATGAACCTTCATGAATCCCTCTAGGAATCCCTTGGGAGTACCGCGTGAATCCTCCAAGAACCCCTTGGGAATCTCCGGGCAACCGTCAGGGATCCCTCTGGAATCCTGCACGAATCCTGAGGAATACTTCTAGGAATTCCGCAAGAATCCTTCGGGAATCCTACGCAATCTCTTGAAAATCCGTAAGAAGATTCCCTCGACATTCCTTCGGAATCCTCCAGAATCCCTGAAGAATTTCCTCAGGCATCCCGCAGGCATCGTCAGGAATCCTTCAGAAACCTTAGGACACCTTCAGAAATTCCTCTGGAGTCTGCCAAGAATCCTTCTGAAATCCGCCAGGAAGCCCTCAGGAATCCTCAAGACACCTCAGGAACCCTTCAGGAACCCATCAGGACTTGTCAGGAATCTCCAGGGAATCCTTCAGGAATCTCTCAGGAACCTTCCAGAATCCGAAGGAATTCCTGAGGAACCCAGCAACATCCCAGGGAACCGAAGGCACCCCTGGGGGATTGCTAGGGTTGCTGGCTGCTGGGGGGGAGGGCGGGGGTCCAGGTCGCGTGTCCACCACCACCACAACCACAACCACTACCACCACCACCGCCACCACCACCAACAACAACAACAACAACAACAACAACAATGACAGCAGCAACAACAACAACAGCAGCAGCAACAACAACACCAACGGCAAAACAGCAGCAACAACAACAACAACAGCAGAAGCAGCAGCAGCAGCAGCAACAGCAACAACCACAACAACAACAACAACAACAACAACAACAACAACAACAACAACAACAACAACAACAACAGCAACAACCACACCAACAAACACAACAACAACTGCAACAACAACTAGAACAACAGCCACAACAACAATAACAACCACAACAACAACAACAACAACAACAACAACAGCAGCAACAACAACGACGACAACGACAACATGGTACATCAAAAAATGGAAATTGAGCCGTGCGGCATCCGTCGCAGCCAAAAGCAACGCTCGACGCTACGCCTTGCAGCCATAGCGCTCCCGGCTTCTACGACCAAGCAGCACGAGGCCAGAGCAGACAGAACGGAGGAAGAGGAGGAGGGGCGCTGTCGTTCGCACACTTCCAGGCTGCAACTGTCCGCGCTGATCTGCACGACGACTGCTCCGAGCACTCCGCGCGAGCGCCCTTGTTATACGCACGGAGAACAGGTGGGTGCGAAAGAGCGGGAGGCGAGCAGGAGAGGGGAAGGTCCGTGCACGCAGCCCTGCCCGCAGCAGGGGCAAAGGGATCCAAATCGACGGGGTGAAAACAGAAGAGATGATGAACAGGCAGACGGACGACCGTGAACTCCACTGCCGCCTCCTCCTCCTCCTGCTCCTCCTCCTCCTCCTCCTCCTCTTCCTCCTCCCCCTCCGCCTACTCTTTTTACCCCTCCTCCACCCCCCCTCCTCCTCATTTTCTGTTTCGTCTTCTTCACCATCATCATCATCATCATCATCATCATCATCATCATCATCAGCAGCAGCAGCATCATCATCGTCATCATCATCAATAATAGCAGCATCATCATCAGCATCCTCGTCATCATCATCAGCATCCGAAGCATCATCATCATCAGCAGCAGCATCATCATCCTCATCATTTTCAACAGCACCATCATCTGCAGCAGCAGTATCATCATAATTACCATCACCAGTATCAGCATCATCGGCATCGTCATCAGCATCATCAGCATCATCAGCAGCAGTATCATTATCATCATCACCACTATCAGCATCATCATCATCATCACCATCATCATCAGCAGCAGCATCACCACAATCAGCATCAGCATCATCGTCACCGTCATCATCATCAACAACGACCTTCCTCACAATCTTCCATCCTCCCCCTCGCGTACGCCCTCCATCCTCATTATCGCGACAGTCCTGTTCCACCGTCCCCTCCTCTTCATCCCCTTCCTTCTCGATGTCGGTCTCCTCCTCCTCCTCCTCCTCCTCCTCCTCCTCCCTCCTCCTTCATCCCTCTTCGCTCCCTCATCCCTCCCCCACTTCCTTCCTCCTGCTCATTCTCACAATTCCTCCTCCTCCTCCTCCTCCTGCTCTTTCTCGTTTTCCCTCCCTCCTCGACGAGAACGTGCCAGCGGCAGTGCCGAAACGCGTCCTGAGTTCAAAAAGGCATGAGGGGTGTAAGCCCGACCTGC